TCTTTCTGTAATGTCCTTCATAACATTTTAGAGTGGTCATGAGTGTCCTCAGGTGTTCCTTGTCATGTAAGTATCTTATTTGTCTATCAATTTTGAAAGATAGTTTTGTGGAAGTTCATCCATCTGGGTTGGAGGTTGTTTTCTTTGAGGGCTTGAGAAATGTCACTCCAGGCTTGCCAGGCTCTCCTTGACTTGAGGGTTTGTGTTGAAATGTCAACTGAGATTCTGATGGGCTTTCCTTTGTAGGTAATTTATTTCTTTTCTCTAACAGCTTTTAATATTCTTTTCTTGCTATAGATTTTTTTTTTGGATCATGGCTAAGGAGTACTGTATACTGTATACCTCACTTATCTATGTCAAATTCTTATGTTGTTAGGAAGTTTTCTACTGCTACATCTGTGAACAGGTTTTTGTTGTTGTTTGTACCTTCTGCTCTTTCACTGACTCAATAAATCTTATGTCTTATTCTACTTTGCATATCTAGCAACTATTAGATTGATTTTGCATGGTCTCTTGCTATTTTTAAGAAAATCTTTCTTTAGTAGTTACTAACCACAATTCTTTCTTCTATATCTGATATTCTATCTGATGGGTTTCTTCTTGTATGACATTGCCGAGTCATCATGTCAGTGGCCCAACATGATTCAGAGACCCCAGGGACAATAGCACATCAGCTTCCTGCTTCTTCTTTCCTCAGCCCAAAGTAAACTTCCTGTTTCCTGTTTTTCACGCACTGATGCTCCCCCAACTAGCTGCTGATGTGTCTGTCACTTTGCCTGCCTCCCCAAACTCCACCCACAATCAGACATAATAAAAGCCCAGTCACTTTTTTGTTCTGGTTGGAGGGAGCTTGCACTCTTCTGCAGCCCTCCCTTGCCAGCAATAAAGGCCTCTTTATCTCTCTCTCTCAACTGTGCCAAAAACCCTAACACTGTCCTCATATCAGCTCATTTTGCTGGGTGTACTTTCAATGGAATTTTTAATCTGGATACATGTTTGAATCTGTTTCATGTTTTCCATTTTTTTCTTATTCTGGTTGTTCATGCTTTCCATCATTTTCCTAAGATCCTTTATTTTTAAAATATGGATCAACTCTAGAGTCACTAAGCATCTCATTCTGGTCACTATCTCTATAGTTATCTGAGAAATTATTTCTGAATTGATTTTTTCTAAAGCATCATTCATCTGCTTTGCTACTTCTGCTGTTACCCCTTCAGAGTCGAGTTGGGTGCCCTTTAAATTATTCCATCTCATTACCTTCTGTGTTGGCCTTTGCTTACGCTGGAAGTCTGGGGTTACATCTTAAGTGTCTTGTCATTTTCTATTTTCTATACATTTTTTTTAAATTAGAGTGGTACTTTAATAGTGTTTTCTGTTTTTACAATTTCTTCCAAGTTCTTTTACACACGCATATACACATGCACACACACTCCGCCATTTTAGAGACTTTTCATGGGCCTGTTGGTCCTGAATTACCTGTTGATTCAACAACGTGAATTGAGAAATTTTTTGTGTGAGTGCAAGGCTATGACTGTTGAGTCTCCCATAGTGCAATTAAAGAGGCCCCTAGTATTTCTTTTGTCAGAATTGAGAGATGTTTTCTCTTGGGCTGCCCAGTTTTCCTAGAGAGAAAGTCTTCAACTCTTACTCAAGGTTTTTAAGTCATACAAGCAAAGTTTAAGAGGTAGGGCTTGGTTTGTAAGAGGGAAGGAAACACTGGCCCTCTCACATTTGTAGTCTCTCACTAAATCTCCATTTTTTTTTCATTATTACCTGCTGTTGTTTTTCACTTGCCATATGTCTTGTTCAAGTTCTTCACAAATTCAACTTGTCCCCTATAACTTTGTTGTTAAGGTATTTTATCCAGTTAGTTCTTTAATTTTCCTTCTCTTGCCCCTTATCTTATGTATTGAAATTTCAGGTATAGGAAAAATTTTTTACGAAATGTTTGAAAGAAGTCATAGACTTTGCTGTTGCTAAAACAAAATATCTCATATTGAGTAAAGCATAGTGAAATGCATATAGGTTCCCTCTTGGAGCTCCAAAAACAAAGTGCTGGTCTGCTTGGGTTTCGTGAGGATTCTGTGTCTGTCTCATATATCAGATGGCATCATAGGGGAAGTATATTTAAGAGCAAAAGGTCACATGATGAGACAGGAAGCCGTAGAAATTCAGGGGTCTAGGTCACTGTTTTTAGAACCGTGTGCTCTAACAAGAACTAATGTAGGTCCTTCAAGAATTACATCGATCCTTTCTGAACATGGTACCCCAAGTGACCCAATAACTTTACATCAAGTTTTACTGCAGCAATACTTCAACACTGGGGCCAAGCTTCTAACACATGAGCTTCTGAGGAACAGTGTCAAACCATATCCAAACCATTGCACTTGGAAAGAAGTGAGTTTGCTTAGAAGAAAAAACAATGTAAATTCCTGTCAAGTACTCTACCCTGAAATAGGCAAAAATGATGATACTTGACCAGAGATAATCTCACTATATCCAAATCTAATATGTATCTATTAACCTCTTATATGCCCTCATGTTAACTATTCAAGTTTGTTCAATACAAATGGGCATTTTTTTTTTATTTTTTGAAACTCAAGTTTCTGTTTTCATTTATTACTGAATCCTCCTGGAGCCTTCTCTGTTAACGTTCTGTAAATGTGCTTCTGTTGCCTGGCTTTGGCCTCATTATTCTCTTATCTGTTCTTGCATCTAGTTTCATGGTTATAAATATTATGTAATTGCTGTTTATTCTCAAATATATCAGTCTTTTGTGTTGAACTCCAGATGCCCACCTGATGTGTCCATTTTGATGTTGAATAGGCATGTTAAAAAAAAAAAAGGGACTTCTCTCACAATCTTGCACTCACCAGGCAGGTGCTTATACCACTGAGCTAAATCCCCAGGCCCTATTTTTTCTTTAGTATCACTCAACTTATAAATGCTGCCTTTATTGCTCCGGTTCCTCACATAAAAGCATAGAAGTCATCCTTAATTCTTCCCTTTCCTTAATTTTTACATCCTACTCATCAACTAATTCTATGGAATTTGGCTAAAAAGTACCCTTCCAATGCACCACTCCTCTCTGTCTCCAAGCAACTGTCTCTGTTACTTAGATTTTGCAATAGTTTTCCAACTGATTCTTTGTTGTCATTCTTGAAACTCACTCTTCACATACAGATAGAGAAATCCTTTTGGAAAATACAATCATTTCAGTGGTTTTCTCTTGCAATTAGAATAAAGTCAAAATTTTGTTTATGTCCTAAAAATAACTTTATGATCTGGATAATATGCCTTTCTTTTTATTTATTTTTTATTTTTTGGTACCAGGGATCAAACTCACAACCTCATGCTTGCCATGCAGGCACTTATACCACTGAGCTAAATCCCCAACCCCTTTTTAATTTCATATTGTAATGTTACCTCTTTATTTACTCTATAGTTATTTATTGAGCACTTGCAATGCATTGGAATTTGAACTAGGCACTGCCAGGTGTGGTAGTGCATACCTACAGTCCCAGCCCTTGGGATGCTAAGCAGGAAGATCGCCATGAGTTTGAGGCCAGCCTGGGCTACATAGTAAGACTCTTGTCTCAGCAAACCAAACCAAAACAAAACAAAGTGCTCACCTCAAGAAAAAGAGAAGAAAAGCAAAAAATAAAAAAGAAGTTGAGCTACTCACTAAGACCTAATCACAGTGAGCAAGCATCTTTTTAGTTCCTTTGACACTCTGAATCAGTAGTGGTACATGTATGGTACACATGCTGCAGTGGGCTGTTTGCTGTCATTGAAGGCTCTAAAAGGTTCATCATCACTTCTGTAAACTGACTTTGGCCTTGGAGCTTTATCTACCTTTTATCCCTGGCTCTGTGTGCACCTTTTGTTTCTCATTCTTCAAATTTTAGCATAAATGTCATTTCCTCAGAGGCCTTTCTTGATAATCTAATTTAGAATATTCATTCTCATATTTTCTATTAAATTTCGTATGTGAAAGTCATAGCACTTTTCTCAGTCATCTGTGCTTATGTATTTTCCATTTCCCTCTGTACCCTATTGTAATGAAAGTTCTATCTTATAGCAGGTTAAGGGATGAACCAGTAATACGTATAAATTTGGAAGTAAGGCTGTGGTAACATTTTTAAGGTCAACAGAATGCTGTTTAGAAGTAATTTTGAAAATATGGGCTCAGTGTATGGGAGAAAGAAACCCATTCTTCCTCCAAAGATTTCTATTACCAAACAAGAAACTTTAGGATCTTAACAGTGGCTTAGCTCATGGATAACTATTTCCAGGGAGCCTTTCCTAGTTTCAAGCTGTTATGTTAGGGCTACCATACTTATGAAAACAGAATCACATTGTAGTTATTCAAAATCACACTAAGTTTCTGAAGACCTGGAATGGAATCCTTCCATCTTCTGAGGTATAGTCCTGACAAATATGTAGGAGCCCAATACGTATTTTAATAAATGAGTGATTGAATGACTGTGGCATGATATGATATAACATGGCATCAATATAGCTAGTAAAAATTGGAATAAATCCAATGCTAAGAGCTTTAAGTGGGAATAGCTAGTAGATGGTTCACATGTAGTCACAGTTGGGAAATCCAAGTTAAAGGACAAGAAATCTATCTCTAGAAGGAAAAATTTGGTGGCTAATTAATACATGTAGGGAAAATCATACAGGTCTTTCTCAGAGAATCTTTATGTTGGGGAAAGAGAGAGGCATTGGGGTATGGAGAAGAAAATCTGGTAAGAGGGCAGAATTATATGAATAAATACATTCAGAAGTAGAGATTCATGATAATTTTAGAACCAATCCAAGATTTTTTTTTTATACCAGGGATCAAACTCATTACCTCACACCTGACAGGCAGGCGCTTATGCCACTGAGCTATATCCCCAGCTCCAAGATAGTTTTTAAAAGTGATATATTTCATAGATTTTCAAAGAATTTCAGTAATAATTTCATTTAAATTAAATTTTCTTTACACCTACCTTCACATGTAGAAGCTGATTGTCAACTGCTATAAGGTGATTAAGGTTCTCTAGTATTTCTAAATCTCTTATGTCATCAATATTATTGTTGCTGATGTTCAATATAGAGAGGGATTTCTGTAAGAAAAACAACCATATTAGCATTTAGCATCAGTGACATATATATATTTCCTAGTCTTTGAAAAATTTAAGATTTATCAGTTTAGCTTGCTCTGCTTTTTTATATAAGAAAATTTTAAAATGGAAATTTTGTTTCAGTGCTGTTATGGTTTATATTCACATGTCCCCCTAACACCTCATGCTCTCATAAGTGATTAGTCCACTGATAAATTTATAGCTAAATGTGATTTTGGGAGCTAAGGCCTGGTTGGAGGAGATGGGTTACTGGCATGGAAAGGTACATCTCCCCCTCCTTCCCTGATCTTTCTCTCTGCTTCCTCCTGTCATGCCCCTTTGTTATGCTGCCCAACCTTAGAGCCAGCCAGCCATGGAGTGAAACCTCTACAAACTGTGAGCCAAAATAAACTTTTCCTCCTTAAATTGTGTATGTTGAGTATTATGTCCCAGCAATGAGAAATTAATGACTCATGCATATTTTTTCAATAGAATATTATATCATATACTCTAGTACATGATATAACTTACTTTTTTTTCCTATACTTTTTCCACAAGGCCGTTTTCCTTGTCCAGGGTTTAAGATAAATTTAGGGTAAAGAAATGAAGAATCAAAAAGTAAAGAAAAAAATACACCAATAAACAAATGATACCACAATGTAGAAATACTACAATTCAAGCAAGTTACCATTTTGTGGTAAATATTGCTATGATTTTACACACATCAGTAAAACAATCTTTGCTTTTCTAAAGAGGAAACATGACCAACTATGAAAATATATTCAGGTTTTATCTTTATCTTTCTATATAATTTTTTCTTGACAATCCATATGTTCAAAAGCCATTTGAAACAATAATTAGCTAATTAGTAAGAATTTTAAGGTTAGCTGATATTGAAAACAGAAGTATGCAATACAGACTTCTGGGAGAATATGGCAGATAGATAGCAGCAGCTTTGGAGGCTCTCTGAGAAACCACACTTAAAATCCAGGAATGGTGTCGGGCAAGAAGTCCTAAACAAGCGGAGATATACTTAGCTGACCCAGGAGCAAATTAAACTAAGAGAAACCAACTGAAAACGCAATCCCGGTGATATAATAGAAACAGATAAGGTCTCAGCTTGGAAGCTGGAGCCTGCACCACTGGAAGCTGCGATTTGAATTTCCTGCAGCTGCTGCTGCGTCTCAATCGGCATGGCAAGGAGAGAGGTGCGAAAGCTCTTAGAGTGGGAAGCGGTGAATGGAGTTGAGAGCGGGACTGGCCGGGAGCCCTGCATCAACCTGCGGTGAGTGAGCGGATTGGGGACCCTTCCGTAGAGTAGGAGGCTCCGGCAAAGGACATACTGGGACTGGGCAGACTAGCCAGAACAGGGCACTGCAATGACTTCAGTCACATATTCCCCTCTCAAATGGGATTAGTGGGGAGTGGCTGGCTTGGGTGACTCCGCTGACTAAGACCCAGTAAGCTAGCTTAAACCAGGTCCCAGCACCTGGAGGTCCACCCTAGCAGTGAAGCCTTCAGTAGGTTGACCTGGAGGGGTGGGCCCAGCATAGGCTGCCCAGGTCTGTGTCTCCCTAGTACACTGAAATGGGCAAGAACACCTAGATGGCGCAATTCAAACAAACTGTAACCAACAAAGAAAGAAACTGGGCCTCCTATATACGCTTGTATAGCAGGAACAAAAAATATGGGAAGAGGCAGCAACAAGAAAGGTCCTTGGCCCCCAATCCTGAGAAACATGCAATATCAGACACGGCACCAATAGACATAAAGCGCTATCTCCAGAGCCTCATAGACAAGTTCAGGAATGAAGTTATTAACGACCTGAAGCAAGATATAAGTAGAATAGTTAGAGAAATGCTAAGCGTCGCCCAAGAAAAAACAGATGGTGGAATGGTAGAATGGAAAAAAAGGGGAGAATTGTTTGATGGAGAAAATAGAGGAAACAGAATACATGAAGCAAGTTCAAAGAAATTACCAGGAAACTAAAAACTCTATTGAAAACTGGCATAACAGCTTGAAAGAAACTAAGGATAGATTATTTGAACTGGAGGGCAGATTTGTAATCTGGGAGCATGAAATGAAAAACTTCTTAAAAATAACAAAACAAACACGAACAATACAAAGGCTAGAAGATGATAAGAGGATCTATAACTTAAGAATTAAGAATGACATAAAAGAAGAAGTAGGGATACAAACAAATGGACTACAAAGGCTATTCACAGAAATAATCTAAGAGAATTTCCCTAATTTAGCAAATGATAAAGATACTCAGATGTACGAGGCATACAGGACCCCAGCCGCCTACAACCCAAACAGAGCTAAACCCAGGCATATAATAATCAAAATTCCAGAAATCCAATATAAGAACAGAATATTAGAAGCCATCAGAGACAAGAAACAGATCACTTACAAGGGAACACCCATCAGAATTACAGCAGACTTCTCGGCACAAACCATCAAATCACGAAGAGCGTGGGGGGAAATAATTCAAGCTTTGAAAGATAATAACCTCCAGCCAAGATTGATATATCCGCACAACTGTCCCTAGAAATTGATGAAAAAACAAGGTGCTTCCAGGATAAAGAGGAATTAGGGGAATTTGCAACCCACCAATTCAACTCTACAGAGAATACTGCAGGATATTCTAAAAAAGGAAAATATCAAGATTCCAGAAATAGTGGCAGAGAGGCCACAATGAATAAAGCAGAAAGAGAAATGAAGAAGACAAACTGACAACAAATGACAGAAAAAGAGCTCAACAGAAATGAGGCAGAGAAGATCGGAAGGTAGGAACAGCTATTTTGGAGAAAACAAGACATCATAATAGCTAGTGCTGATTTAGTATCATCTTGTTTTGAAGTCCCATCAAACTTGTATTCTTCTGTCTCCATTGGTCTTAAAAGGTTGTATCTTGTTGGATTTTTTTATATATGATAATATAAGCAAAAAATTTTATAGACAAGGAGATTATACAGAAACCATTGGTCATTTTCTGTTAATTGGTTCTAAATACCCTGTAATAATGTCATTTTCTTGCATGGTTTTATAGTGTCTTGATATGTTTGGTACTACAGTATATGAAGTTATACTCAAAGATTTCAAGGAAATAGACACTATGGTAACTATTTTTATGTCAGGATATCTTGTGGTGAAACACTATTTTGCTTAAATAGTTATGTTTTGACCTGCGCTATTCTGTTTTATGCCCTCTTTTATCTCAATCCCCCTTTTTAAAAAATTATTTACTTTTTTATTTTTATCTTTTTAATTAAGGGAAAAATAAATAAAAAATAGCAGGATATATTATAGTAACCTACTTTGATTTCCTATTAACTTGATTTGAAATCCTGTACTGCCCTCACTATCTTGTTTTGACTGATTTTCCCCTATTCTGCTTTGCTTGATAGTACCAAGTTTGAAAGTATAGGCAACAACTGTGAAGACAATAAGATTCATTATGAGGCCCTTTCTGGTTGACTATTATCTTCTTTTAAAGTCCTGTAATGTCTTCAATGCTTTGGTTTTATTCTTTACTGTTTTGTTCAATTTTATTATAACTGGCAATTCTTCTTAAAATAGCAAGAGGCAGTATGGTAACCATTGTTGATCACCTTGTATTTTGTTTTTACATTATCTATTATGTCCATCCTTTTGATTTGACTGACTCTGTTCTGATATGTCGCAATTTGGTTTTACTCTCTTCAAAAAAGTATAAGAACTGTGGGAGTAATAAAACTCAAAATGTGTAATTGTCATTGTACAAAAGAAAAGAAAAGAAAGTGCTCTAAAGGTTATATGCATATATGTTTAAGTGTATAAGATAACCATATTACTGAGTTTTTTTGGATCATTGAACAAAACTGTTTGCACTCTCACTGTTTGAAAGTCCACTTTATATGCTTTAATTTTGTAACTTGAACAACTACTTCTAAGATGAGAATATGTAATCTTTTAACTAATGATTTCTTACTGTTTATTTTTTAAATTTTGTATTACTTGTAAAAAAAAAAAGAAGTATGCAATACAGCAGTGTAAACTCAGACTCACCTTAAAAATCTGAGGCTGAAAAAAATCGTAAAAATACCATTTTGGAAAAAAAAAGTTATAAGAACTGTGGGAGTAATAAAACCCAAAAAGTGTAATTGTTATTGTAAAAAAGAGAGGAAAAGAAAGTGGTCTAAAGGAGATAACTGCATGTATATTTAAGTGTGTAGGATAGAAAACCATATTACTGAGTTTTTGTTGGATCATCAAACAGAACTGTCTGCAATTTCACTGTATGAATGTCCACTTTGTATGCTTTAATTTTGTAATTTGGACAATTGCTTCTAAGATGACAGTATGTCATCTATTAACTAGTGATTTCTTACTGTTTATTTTTTTTTCCTTGAAATTCTGTATGACTTGTACCCTTTTACTGCTTTTTTTTTCTTTCTCTTTAAATAAAAAAAATACCATTTTGGGGGGCTGGGGATTTAGCTCAGTGGCATAAGCGCCTGTCTGGCAAGCGTGAGGTCATGAGTTCGATCCCTGGTACTGGGGGAAAAAAAAATCATAAAAAATCTGAGGCTGGCCCCAGGGGGAGACCCACCCAGCATCTCCTGAAATCGCCATGTTGGAACTTAGGGTACTAGGAAACCAAGCAACCAGCCCATCTGCCTGGTAATCATTCATGGCTGTGGCAAGTGGCGGCCATCTCAGGGGGAGAGCACCCAGCATCTCCTGAGATCCATGCCATGTTGGAACCTAGGACGCTGGGAAACCAAGCAACCAGCCCACCTCCCTGGTAAGCAGCTCTGAGCCTACCTACACTCTGGCTGAGAGTCAAACATCGCACTCCATCCCCCATTAGCAAATGGGAGCCAGAGGTCTGAGCATCTCTTGGGAAGTTGACCATAAGCAATACAGCAAATAGGAGGGATTTCTTTCTACCATCTCTTTAAGGGCAAATATTGTTATCACTGTTTTGCTTTTTTCTAATTAATTATATTTCTCTATCTAATATTCTGTTTTGATAAGTTCTATAATGTTCTGTATTTGATTTGATTTTGCTATGCCTGATTGAAAGAACAACTATTGTGAAGATTAAGATATATACTATGGCACCTATTACTGTTATCCCAGTAACCTGTTGTGACATTCTGTACTAGTTTCACTGCACTGTTTCAATTGGCTATGTTCTGTTGTATTTTACTACCTTCAAAATAATATTTTAAAAAGACAGTAATTTAAAAAAAATCTGAGGCTGAGGAATTCTATCAGGTTCCATTGCGGCATCCACACACAACCAACTTTGAAAAAAATGTATTTCCTGATTCTTTTTAAAGCTTAAAATAACATCGAAAAAATGATATCTTCTACTTAAAATTTCAAAGTCTGCTTGAAGCTATGCAAATACTGAAGTAGCAAAAATGTTTTCAGTGGTATTTTGTAATAAAACTGGCCATCTTCACAGTGGGGTCAGTCTAATTGGATCAGTTGGAGTTGAGCTGTTGTTGAGCCAAATGGTTCTTTGGGATGGGACAGAATAGAATAGAAAGAAACCAGCCCACTTCTTTATTTTCCAATTAAAAGAATTACTTTTCAGTTCTTACAAATTTCAAGTTCAAATTTCAGTTCAAAAACTATCTACTGCTCACCATAGGCCCTCTAAACAAAATTGATGAAATCTAAATAACAACCATGTCTCATGCTACCCAAAATGTGTCCCCTTTCCTTTCTCAAGGATTAGCAGCAGCCTCTGTGGAGCCATATGCTTCTCAGTTTAATGTGGCATCTCCTGCCATGTGATTGGTTGTGAAGCAACTTAGCTAGAGCCTCAATCCTGGTAATCCCTGGCCTATGGTGGTTCTAATGAAGCAAAGCTGTATATAGTGCAAGTTATAATCAAATCAGGGCTTGGGGGTAAATAACTTATTGCAATTGCTCTCTAGGTTGCTTAGAAGATGCCAAATAATTGTATATGCCTTTCTTAGACTTTTTCTTAATAAAATTTGAGACATGATTATAAGCAAGGCTTAAATTATGAATGAATTAACATTTACAGTAGAGCTCCAGTTTACATAACCTTTCCACATCACTTTTGATCCTTGCAGTTACTCCAAGAACAATGCATCACTATCTACTTCATACTAGTGTCATATTCGGAGACTTTGTAAGGGAAAATTAGCCTCAGTCCTCAAATAGGCTCTTAACTGGCCATGTAAGCAGGCAGAGTATGTACATTGTCCAAATAATCCTTCACTACCTTCTTGTTCCTTTGTAAGTTGTTCAGCATTATATTCCTTTTCAAAATATTCAAATGTGATCTTACTGCCAGAGACCGAAGAGTTCTTGGATCAAACAGAAGCTTTTCTCCAAGGGGAAGCCTTTGACTCTCAACATGAAGCTCTCTTAGTTCTTCTAATCCCTCCAAACCTTCTATGACAGCAATGTAATTGCCTCCTAAATACCTGAAAACACAGACACAATTCTAAATAGACTTCCTGAAAATGGCATGGAATAAGAATTTAATAACAAAATTACTGAGCTGTTTGAAAACTCAGAATATTGAGTTTATATTTGAAACTATGAAAAGTTTATTTGAATAATAAATAATTTAGTCTAAGAAGCACATTTTTTTTAAAGTGAAAGAATTGTTATCCTCACTAAACTATCTACAAGTGTTTCTTATTTGTTAGGGTACAGAAGAATCACCTAGACTATAGGTTTAAAAATGAAGATTTCTGAGTCTAACTCTTGGAGATTTTGATTTGGCTAGCTATGTTGGAACCCAGTAAGTTGCCTTTTTAGTAAGCATTTCCCACCCAATCCTGAGGCCATCGGCCACTTTCTTTTTTTTTTTTGTCTTTTTCGTTTTCATCGGTACCAGGATCGAACTCACGACTGCCTGCTTACAAGGCAGGCGCTTATGCCACTGAGCTAAATCCCCAGCCCTGCTGGCCACTTTCTAAGAAGCATAGAAGGTACTTCTGTTGGAGGCCACTACAAAGCAGCACTGAGCAGGATTTAAAATTAATTAAAACCAAGGAGCCTGTTTGGGTAGTTCAATGGCTCCTTACAAAGGAAAACCTAACTCAATTATACAAATTAGTTGAAGAACAATCGCAGCTAGGACATTTAGAAAGCTCAGTTAGCCCTTGGAATACTGTCTTTTATTCCAAAAACATCAGGCAAATGGAGGTTGTTACAAGATTTAAAAGCTGTAAATGCCTGCTTATTTCCTATGGGGGTGTTGTAGCCAGGACTGCCAGATCCAACTGCAGTTCCCAGAGACTGGCCTCTCATCATAATTGATTTAAAAGATTGCTCTTTTAACATTCCTGTTTTTCCCACAGATAGACTTTATTTTGCCTTTTCCATGCTTAGTTTAAACTTTAAAGGACTAATACAGCTCAATAACATGGAAGCGAGGTTATGCTTATGTCTTAACAGGTGAAAGATCCCACAAGAAATATACAGCATTGGTGGGAGACACAACCAATGCTGAAGACAGCCTTATGTGACAACTCAGCCAACCTGGGCCACAGAGACCTGCCTTTCAGCCAGAAAATCAACCACCAGCTCCACTGAGAGACCAGAAGAGAGGACAAATGATCCATTAGAATGACATCCAAGCAACAATTCATGAGGCTAAAAATACAGTTACCAGAAGGGTAATTTAACCAACCTCTGAAAATCTTTTGGTTGCCTTAATAGCTCTGTTGACAGTATCTGTATATATGACACCTGTCTATGGAGTGGAGTAATGGATTTATGTCCCTGATCTACCATTACCTAGATCCATTACTTGGGCAAATTCTCCACCAGAGATTTATCATGAACCAGATATGATTGGTCCTAAGTATCATTATAAGGCCACCCATTTCTGTATAACTCCCTAGCCTTATAACAAACCTATGCATCCTTGGGAGACTATAAAGAAACATATCCATCAAAATGTTGCTATGGATAGTGACACTCTCCAGAAGGAGGTGTTGTCAATGTCCCAACAAACCAAAAATTTGACAAATTCAAGATTGGGACAAATTTTCTGATGCTTTAGATCAATTAAATCCATTCAATTATCTGAAGGCACATTTCTGGCTTTATGTTGGTATACTTGGAGGAATCTGTGTGTTTCTCTGTATTCTATTCATAGTCTGTCGAAGAGGAGCCAAGATGGGCCAACTCCTAGACCACATTCAACCATGACTTATCCTGATCCAGCTGTTGTTACAAAAACAAAAAGGAGATGTTGGAGACCACTATGAAGTGACTCTGAGCAGGATTTAAAATTAACTAATTGGCTATGTTTATCTGTGAGTCTGTCCTAGGCCTAGGCCTTTGCCTGGCGATGGGAGCTGATTCATCGTAAGTGAATCTCTGTGAATCACTGGTCCTGGCTGAGGTGTGTAGTGGCCTGTGAGGCCAGAGATACTGCAAAAGGCAAGATAAAACCACAGCTGCAGACACTTGGCTCAAACATCAATTAAATAGACAGAGACTGCAGCTGCAGGAATTACACCTACTGTCTAACTCCTACCATGTCTTCATGATAAGACAGTTCTACTGAATTGACTTGATTCATTACTTGGAAATGTCCTTGAAGTGACTCCCAAGGTCTTGCTCATTGCTTGTGCTTTCCTCAGTTTCCCTGACCCTTGTTGTTGGATCTAATAAAAATGGGCAGTCCAGAGAAGTCTTTATCTTAGCCCTCAGAGTCTCGAGCTCAGCTAAAGGATTTTGACCCTCCTGGAGCCCTAAAATCATAGCATTTGTCTCATTTTATTTAAGCCTTCACCATACACTCTTTTGGGAGATTGAGGATCTAGGTCAGGACCCACAATACTCCAATCTGAGTAACATGTATTTATAGTCTTCATTATAATATATATTATAATTATTTTAGACTTAAAGGCCTTTTTACAATCAAATCTATATCAAAATTATTCATTCTGTGACCTGGACCTTTTGAGATCTGTTATTCCAAAGAGCACAAAAGTTTTCTGGGATCCATGGATTGTTTTCAACAGTTGAGCCTACATGAAGATGTTTTAGGTGACCTGATAAGCCCATAATACAACTTACTCCCCCCCAAAGTATACTATATTTAATAAAGCAAAAATTGTTGAGAATTATATATGAAAGTATACATTTCATATGAAATAAATGTAAGGAAATAAAAATTGAGGCCTGTTCTATAGAATATATCTGAGATTCATTACTTTTACAGCTTAATCCCCAAAATGGAAGTGTCTGCCTGCACAAAAACATACACTATAATGATGATAAGCAGTTGACTTTACTCAAATGTACTTACAGTTTTTCCAGTTTCTTTAATGATCTGAGGCTCTCTATACATGGAATACAATTGTTTTGTAGGTACAGATGGGTCAGATTTGTGGCATAATTCAGGTTAGTGACTTGACTAATACGATTATCGTATAAATATAGAACACTGAGATTTTTGCAAAGAGAGAGGTCTGACTAAAAGAAAAACAACAGGTTATACTTAATTCCTCTTGGAAACATTTTAAAAAAGTTTTCCAGTTGAGTGTTCTACAAATTTTCTTAAGCTTAATATAAAAGGAAACAATCATATTAATATAATATAAAAATTATTTGATATAATGGATCAAGAAACAAAGTCCAGTGGTATTCTGTACATAAGAAACAAATTTAGCCAGACATAGTGGTACATGTCTGTAATCCCAGCATGCAGGAGGCTGAGCCTGGAGGATCTAGGCAAGTTTGAGGCTAGCTTCAGCTACATAGGAAGCTCAAGACAAAACCTGATCTACATCGCAAGACTGTGTCTCAAAAAACAAAACATACAAATGCACACACACACACACACACACACACACACACCTCAAAACAAAATAAGAAACACATTTGTCTTGGTATTAATTTACTAGGCTGGAATATAGCTCATGGCACAAGCACCTGCCTGGCAAGCGTGATGTCCTTGATACAAAAAAAAAAAAAAAAAAAAAAAAAGACAAGGGAATTAACCTAAGAAAGTGAAAGACTTTACAATGAAAACTACAGTACTCTGAAAAAAAGACATCAAAAAGGACATCAGAAAATGGAAAGATATCCCATTTCTGGTTAGGCAGAACCTATGTAGTCAAAATGGTTACACTTCCAAAACTGATACACAGATTCAACATAGTTCTAGTCAAAATTCCAAACGAATACTTTATGGAACTAGAGAAGACAGTCCTAACTTTCATATGGAACCAGAAGAGACCAGAATAGCAAAAGCAGTCCTGGGTAAAGAGCAAGGTGGGAGGCATCACAATTCCATACTTGAAGTTGTATTACAGACTTACTGTAAAAAGAGTACAGTACTGGCACAAAACAGACATGAGGCCTGGCAGTGGTGGTGTGTGCCTATAATCCCAGCACCCAGGAGGCTGAGGTGGGATAAATTGTGTTGAGTTCAAGGCTAACCTGGGCTACATAGTGAGTTCAAGCCCAGCTGGAACTACAAAAAAAAAAAAAAAGCAAAAACAACCAGACATGAGGATCAATGAATTAAACAGAAAATGCAGAAACAACCTCAAACACATTGAACTATTTGATGTTTGACAGAAGGACCAGAAACATACACTAGAGGAAACATAGCCTCTTTAATAAGTGGCATTGGGAAAACTCTGTCCACATGCATAGATATATCCTAGACTTACATCTCTCACCACGTATTAAACAATCAAAATGGATCAAAGAATCAAATGTTAAAACAAAAATTTAACCTGCTGAAAGATAAAATAGGTTAAACTTGAAGTCATAGGCATTGGCAAAGACTTTTTTAAGAGAATCCTGGTTACAGAGGAAATAGTTCCAGGAATCAACAAATGAAAACCTTCTGCATAGCAAAAGAAACAACCGAATGAAAAGACAGCCTACAGAATGGGAAAAACATATATTACAAACATTTACTAGTAAAAAATAAAAATTATTTGTCTAAGCATATCAAAATAAGACTATAATGATTACAAAATAGGTTGTGGATTTAACATTCTATAATTCTGTGATTAAAGTTGTTATTTCCCAGTGCAAGAAATTTTCCTTGACAACAATTACAGATACAATCTCAGCTATTCCAGAGACTGAGTCAGGAAGTTTGCAACTTCCAGGCCAGCATGAACAATTTAGCAAGACTGTGTTTAAAAGAAATAAAAAGATTGTATAAGCACTGAGTTCATTGTGCACTATACAAGGAAAGAGAGAGAGAAAGGAGAAACAGAGGGAGAGGCAGAGAGAGAGGGGGAAAGAGAAAAAGAAGAAAGAGACTTCCTAATGGATAGTTTTGTCTGAGGCATTGGTATCATTCAATAAATAGTTTAAGAACTTAATGTTTTAGGCATTATATTGGATGAAGGGGTTTACAATAATGTGATGATTCTTTGCCCTTACCTATTTTTGAGAAATTTCTCTTACCTATAGTATAACATTTACTGGAGCAAAAAGATACACAAATGTAACTTGTCTCACAACTGACCCAATATACCATCTACTTACATAACCAATTAAGTTGTGTGCAAAAAAGATCTCACCCTTTGACCATCTTTTAGGATTGGGGTGGTCCTGAGCCTTAAATATATTAAGGTCACACTCTATTACTGAACTATACCCCAGCTCTAGTGTTGAACTTTTGAGTTATGGTACTAATACACACACACACACACACACACCTCAAACTCACAACAATCCTTCTGCCATAGTCTTCTGAGTGCTGAGATTATAGGTGCACCATCATGCTCAGCATAATGGTATAATTTATAAAGACTTAAATAAGCTTTATATAACAAAAATGACATTACAATAAAATAGTATAAAGTTTACTGGTAAAGATACAATTAATAAATATCAAAAGTTAATTATTGGGTACACTGATTTATAAATTTTACATTAATTATATAAAAACAGGAAATAATTTCAGAGTTCTTACAATTGCATCTATATTTTTGTCTGAAAAATTAATATGAGTTATTTTCTTCAGACATTGTGCAGTGGTTTCTTCTTTTCGAGGTTTTAGATTGCTGTTTTTCACAATTAGGTCCACAGTTAGTCGAACCATTATTTCTCTATAAATCACATCTCAGCAATAGCTGTGTTGATAACATGTCCAGAAGCAGGTTTAGGTACTTTTTATTTTTATCTTTCTAAAAATTAAAGAAAAGACAGATTATTATATTAAATAGCAATTTAGGAAAGGCTGTTTTAACTTTAGTTTTCTGTTGTAATACTCTGGTTATCTATTTCACAGACATTTTTATGGGCATTTTGTTATTTTCTGTTTATAGACTTAAACTTTTTTAGTAAAAAGATTATTTAAATGCCAAAACTAATTAAACACATAATACTCATTCACCTTTATTTTTTAGTTTATTTGTTTGCTTGCTTACTTCCTGACTGGCCTGCTTGTCTGTGTCAGAGCCTGACTATTAGTTCACGCTGGTCTTGAACTCACCATGAACCCAGGCTGGCCTCAAACTTTCACTGATCTTCCTGCCTTAACCTCCCCAACTGATGGGATTACAGGCAAGTGCTACCATATCCAGTGCCCTGTTTTTTTTTTTGTTTATAAAGTTCTTCTTTATTGGTATAGATTGTTGTTATGATGGATAGCTCCCTTTATTCATTCCTAATACGTATTTTCTTCATTTTCCCTTGATCAGCCTTGCTAGTATTGAACAAATTTATCTGTTTTGCTAGCACATTCAAAGAAACCAATTTTTCTTGACTCTCTATTATAATCTAAGTTTAAATTTCAATAATTTGTTTTTATCTTTTAAAAATTTTATTCTATTTTCAGACTTATTCTTCTTTTGCCAACTTCTAAAGTGGATGCTTGCCTTACCAATTTTCAGTCTTCTTTCTTTTTTTGCTAATGTTAGAATATCTTACCCTTAGCTGATTCCATAGTGATATTTTCATTATATACCTTAAATTCTGTAACATCCATTTTTTAATTTAAAATAGAAACTTTAATGAGCTAAAATTTGTATATCAAACAATTAACAAACTTAAAATGTAAGATCCAGTAGATTTTAACACAGAGTTGTGTACAACCATGACCATAATCAAATGTAAATTATTTTTACTGTCTTGAAACAAAACACTCTACCTACTAGCTATCATCTACCAATCTTTCTCCCCTAAATCTAGGCAACTATTTAGGCACTATGTTCATAGATTTTGCTATTATGGGAATTGATTTTTCTTTTTAATTCAAAATAGAACATGCTCATAGCAACAATAAAGAGCTTAATATAGCCAAAGAAATGGAAATCCTGCAAAATGATCTCTTATCCCGTACTGGAGTGAAACTAGAAACCTACAGCAGAAAAACATACTTAGAATACAATGTCTTTTTTCCCCTATTAACTTTTTCATATAAGGAAAATCACGTGATATTTAAGCTTGTGTATCTGGCTTACTTCACTTAACATGGTGTCAAGGTACATCTGTCTTCTTACAAATGCTTTATCTTTCTTTACTGCAGAGTAGTATTCCATTATGTATAAATACCACATCTTAATTCATTCCCATTGATGGGCATATAGGCTGTCTCCTAAGACTTAGCTACTATGAATTGTGATACTATAAACATATGTATATATATATATATATACATATATTTTTTTTTTTAGATTTTTGAGGCATCTCCATACTGATTTCCATAGTGGTTGTCTCATTTCCAAGTTTACATTTCCACCAACAATGAAAATGGGTTCCTTTCTCCCCACAACCTTATAAGCATTTGTTACTGATTGATTTGCTGATAGTAGCCATGTTTCTGGGATGAGATGAAATCTTAATGTTTTTTAAATTTTCATTTCTCAGGATGGCCAGTGACACTGAGCATTTTTTCATATATTTATTAGCCAGTTGTATTTTTTCATCTGAGAAGCACTTATTCATTTCAGGTGACCATTTTTATTGGATCTTTAAATTTGGGGGGTCTGATTTATTTCGAGTTCTTTGTATAGTCTAGATTTAGTACTTTGTCTAAGGTATAGCTGGTAAAAAAATTTTTCCCATAGGTTGTCTCTTTACTTTGTTGGTGGTTTTCTTTGCTATGAGAAAGCTTTTTAATTTAATGTAATCCCATTTGTTGATTCTTAGTATTATTTCTTGCACAATCGGTTTTGTTTTGCTTTGGTTTGTTTCAGACAGGGTCTCACTACATAGTTGAGACTAGCCTTGAACTCACAAGCCCAGGATGGCCTCCAACTCCTGGTAATTCTCCTGCCCCAGCCTCCCAAATGCTGGTACTACAGACATGTCCCATGTTGGCTGGCACAATGGGATTTTATTCAGAAAGTCTTTGACTACCCTATGTCTTCAAGATATATCACTGATTTATGATATATTAGGCCTGTATTTTAAAATTTACAAGTTTTTCCAGAAATTTCAATTATCTTTTTACATGGATAACTGAGGTGAAAATACGTATTGTGAAGAGGTTGTTCACCCAGGACTTCCTCCTCGCAGCTGAGGGAGACTGCTGCACTGGTGTCTGTGCAGGAGCATCCTTGAGCTATAAAGAAGGTATCCTTGGGGGATGACCTCAGCCAAGGGGATAGAGGAGTCACAAATGATTTATTCACATATAATTTATTTTCTCCTCTCCATAGACTTTTAGTTCAGTTTACTCTTTTTTTGTTTGTTTGTTTTTTAGTACCTCACTCTTGCCAGGCAGGTGCTTATGCCACTGAGCTTAACCCCCTCCCATGGACTTTTGAGGACACATTGTTTTCAGATGCTCCCTTAGAAAACATTCTGAGTTACACATGCTCTTATATTTGCTTTCTTGCTATCTCTGCCCAGTTCCTTTTCTCCTTCACTCCTACTTCCGTGGAACTACAATGCAATAAAAGTGCTATCACAACTTTTTGCTTCAGGCTGTTAATGTGACTAAAACAAATGTTGGGTTATCTGAATCTTCATGACAGTGCTCTTGCAAAGGTGGAAATTTTACCTCTATCCTCTTAAAGGTCTTTTTTTTCCCCCTCTTGGCTGTGCCTCAGGAATTTATAGAGCACCAGGAGGAAAGCATATAGATTTATTTAATACAAATCTTATGTGGCATGAAAGATGAAGGAAATAAACTATTAGAAAAGGCACAGAATTGAGCACTTACTGAATTACGAGTAAGAAATTGTGAAAATGTGACAAGTAAAGGGGTTTTGGGGTAGTATAGTTGATTAATGGAGAAATGTATGAAAAGGTTTGTGCAGATTTCCCTGGGCCCTTGTGTCCTTGATAAGAATCACTTTTTAATATAGGGAAAGAATCTTTCCAAGGGCTTGAAATATGGAAAGAGACAGAATTGAATCAAACTACAAGGCAAAATAACAGAGACTGCTAACTAAAAAAACAAAAACAACAAATGTGCGTTTTAGCAATCCAGAAGAGAACAGCACCATTCATCTTGCTAAAATAATATTAATTTAAACCTTTGTCTTGAATTTTCCTTTAGAGAAATTATAAGCGTTAGGAATTTAATAATTTAGTAGTGGGGATTTGGATTTATTTTAGACTATTATAATAAAAAAAAGTCAATTCTTGCGAGCAACCTTGGTTTTCAAAAAGTGTTTTTCCGGCCTCCTACCCTTCCCAATATTGCTGTTTTCTTGGACTCTTTTCTAGGATATTTCTCCAGATCCCAGTGAGCCACTTTAGGGTTTCAATCCCCAGGGATCCCAAGGCCAGAAGCCATGAACAGTGCCTTTAGTTCCACCTTTAATTCTATGTATTGACACCCATCCTCTGTAGCTTCAGAGGCTCAAAATTGTCTTCATCCCTCAAGCTTTTATTTCCAAACCCTTCATACACAGGTACGCGCCCACCAATTCCACTCCCTCTGTGGCCATCCCTATGTCCATGCTCCTTCTCTAGAGGTGTTTCCAAACTTTGCCTGACTCCAGACATTTGTTAAAAATACAGTCTTCCGGTTTCTATTATTTCCTGGTCATTCTAGGTGTCTAGGGATGGGGCCCAGAGATCTGCATTTTAACAAGTGTCCCAAGAAAATCTTACTGGCCAGCAAGTTTGAGAAACATGACTCCAGGGTTTCCTCGCTCCTCAAGCTGCTTCTCACGTCACTGCAGGCTGGACGAGTCTGGTCTGTAACTCCGGTTTGGTGAGTTTCGCCCCGTGTGCCGCGTTGCCAGGCGACCAGACAAAGCTCCCGGTTGCCCGCAGCTTCTCGCAGAAAATCTCGCGGGGTCGCAGGCAGCCACCTTCCCGCGGGCCTGGCGCTAATCCAATTCCTTATGAGGAGAGGCCAAGGCTGATGCGTTCTGTGAAGATGGGGTCATCTCATGACTTTAGAGATCAGCAGTAGATAGTTTTGTTTTTGTTTTTCAGACCTTCATTTTCCTTTTTTTTTGCCATCGGTTTTGATCATTTGAGTATCCGGTGACCACCTTGTTCCCAGTAATAGGCCAGAAAAATAATGATATGCCTCAAGGCATAGAACATATTCCAAACTTCCCTCCGACAAAACCCAGACTCAGGGTGACATTTAAGACCATTCATTATGACCCCTGTCACCATTTGCCATTTGCCCCGTATATTTCAGGATTCTCCAGTAGGCCCTGATCTAAAAAACTTTCATTCCCCAGAATGCCCTTGGAAGCAGCAGCAGTAGCACACCTTTTCTTTCCACTTTCATTCTTATTTTCCTTTTAAGAGCACTCAGGTTGGAGTAAGTGCATCTGTTTTCCCTGAAGCCTTCCTACATAGGTTTGTTATGCTCCATTTTGCCTCACTACCCCTCCCCCACCCAACATTGGAATGTATTGAACTACTAACAGTGGCACTTAACACTACTGTATGTTAGTTACATACAGTATCATCAATAAAATAAATTATTTGAGGATAAAGTTTTTTATTTATTTATCTTTTTTACTTTTCTATTCCCAGGAACTAGGGAAATACCTGTATATTAGAAGTCATTTTATAACTGTTTCTGAAATGAATAACTTGAATGGCATAATGGCGCATGCCTGAAGTCCCAGCACTCTGGAGGCGGAGGCAGGAGGATTGCTGTGAGTTTGAATCTAGCCTGAGCTACAAAGTGAGTTCAAGGCCAGCCTGAATTGCATAGTGAAACCTTGTTTCAAAAAGACCAAGTAAACAAATAAATGAATGAATAAAATGAATAACATAACTGAAGGAAAAGAACAATAACATAAAGAACAAATATTTAGAAAGTGAGGAGTTATTGGAGATAGTATGAAGCAAGCAGTCGGAATGTAGAGGACTGTCAAGCTGGAAAATGGCAGTGTCAGCTGTGACCTTGGTGGATGGGCAAAGGTCAGAGAGGACTGTTAGAGATGCAAGGCAGTTTCGAGGCCAGAAGATGTTCTAACTGCCATCTTGTACATAAAGAAGCTCCTGGACCAGAAACAGTAATCCTCGTCACCATCAGGTGTCAGAGAGGGAATTTAACCTTGGGCTGGTGACTTCAAGTTCAGGGCCCCTTTCAGTATGACAGTAGCCTAAGAAGGGGAGGGCAATAAGGGCAAAGGAACCCTAAGTCAACTCAAGATACTGTTGATAAAATTTATTTATGAGGCACTCAGCCCAACTGGCTTGAAGACAAAGAAAGTAGAAAGGAATAAACAAGTTTTGGAGATACTTTGAAGCATAATTTAATGAAGAGACATTGGTTAGGATAAAGGGAGGAAGAAGATAATTCTCCTGTTAGGATAAAATAATAATATTGGAGAAAGAGAAGAGGTGACATGAATTTGAGGTACGGATAAGTTTGGCTTTTACACTTTAAATGTGAAATAGCATGTTTTATTTTTTTCCTTTTTAGTTTCATGAAAAAAACCCCAAAATTTAATAACAAAACAAGAATAACAATAGTTACTACTGTGTACTGTCATCTTCAAAGTAGTTACTCTAGTGCAAGACATTGACAAAATAGATTCTGTCTTATAAAGAAATAGATATGAGCACAAAACTTTATAATGAACTAAGAGAAACTAGTAGCATAAACAAATTAGCATGTATGTTAAAATATTTTTGAAACAATGGAAAAGGTAATTTGGGGAATCTGAACCTCACTCTACTTCCTATTTATCTTCCATTTTTTTTCTAATTTGATAAATATGCTTTGAGTTCCTCATATAAGAGCAACAATGTAATATTTATGTCTGACTTGTTTTACTGAATATTACATTCACAAGTTACATCCATTCCTCAAGTTTATCTTTTGTATAGCAGAGTAGTACTCCATTGCATATAAATACCACATTTTTCTTATCTGTTCTTCTTTTGATGGACATATATACTGTTTCCAAGATCTAACTATTCTAAGTTGTGCTGCTATAAACCAGGGTATGCATGTATCCTTGTAATACAATTTTAAGTCTGGGGAAGATACCTAGTTAAACTGAGTCAAAAGGAATTTCTATTTATAATTTTTAAAGAATCTACAAAATGATTTCCATAGTGATTGTGCTTATTCATATTTGCATCAACAACACAGATGAATTTTTTCCCCACATCCTCACTGGCATTCATTATTATCAGATTTTTTTTATGATAACCATTTTTAGTGTGGTAAGTTGGTACTTCAGTGTAGTTTTAATAGCCAGTGATATTGAGCTCTTGTTCATGTTATTACTAGCTAATTGTACTTCTGTGAAGTATCCATTTTACTTGCCTATTTTTTATTGGATCTTTTATTTTGGGTAGTCTAATTTTTTTAAAGTTCTTTATATATTCTAAATATTAGTCCTATGTCTGAGGAATAGCTGGCAAATTTTTTCAACCTGTCTGTAGATAGTCTTTTATTCTGTTGGTTGTTTCTTTTGCTATGCAGAAGGTTTAATCAGACACAATCCCATTATTGACTTTTGTGCAATTGGAGTTCCAGTCAGAAAGTCCTTGCCTACAACTGTGTCTTCAAGAGTTGTACTTATTTTATCTTCCAGCAGATTATTTCTGCTTTAACATTTAGATCTTTGAACTATTTTCATTTTAATTTAGCACATGGTGAGATATATGAGTCTAGCTTCAAGCTTCTGCATGTGGATAGCCAGTGCTCCCAGCACCATTTCTTAGAGAGGCTATCTTTCCTCCATGTATGTTTTTGACGCTATAATTTGGGGTTTGCAAGGAAAAGAATTATATACAGGACACATAACTGATAGTATTATTTTATAATGGTCACCCAAAAAGTCAAATAAAAAAGAAAGAGTTCAGGAAATCTGTCTACACACTGAGACCCAAAGAATCCAGCTAAGGACTTGGATCCCATGGCAACACCCTGCATGAGTCCAGCTGAAGATCTAAAGCTCATGACAGCCCTCCCACAAGTCCAACTGGAGGCCTGGAACTGATGACAATGCCTCATGCAAGTCTGTTTCACAGATCTACTCTGTGAAGGACCAAAGGTCAGTGGTGGAAGCTAGAAAGTCTGTGCCAGCGAGATGAAGGATCTGTGCCAGTAGGCTGAGGGATCTGTATTGGAGCCAGGATGCGACACTTAAAATAAGGACTAGGGCTTTCCTGAAAAGTGTCACAGCCATCCTCAGTGACAACGAGGTCCCAAGCTCTTCTGACAATGAGGACGGCTGAGTTATATCAAAAGCCAGCATGACAAGCTTCTCCTGGAGACTGAACAGCACACATCTTCCCCTTCGGAGCCAGGAAGTAGTAAAGATCAGAGCTCCCTCAAAGTGAACTGCAGCCATTCTCAGCGACAAATAGGTCCCGAGCTCCTCTGATATGAGAACAGCTAAGTTCATATGAGGAAAGAAGCTCAACAAGCTCCTCCAGAAGAACCAGTGGCAACAGGAGCTGCACTCTTTCCTCTCCAGTTCTCCTTTTTGTCTTGGCCACAGTCCTCAGATGGCCATCCACACAGCGCCAAGCTGCTTCAGTTCAGCTCGTGTTGCAAGCTGACCACCAGTTATCAATCCACCATAACACCTTTGTCAGAGATCAAATAACTGTATATACCTGGGGTTGTTTCTGCTTTTGTACAGTTCTACTCATGCTTGTGCCTGTTTTCACGCCAGTAGCATGCTCATTTAATCACCATAGCATTATAGTATAACTCCAAGTCTGGGATTATGATGCCATCTGCTTTGCTTTTCTGATCTAGGATTGCCTTTGTTATTTTTGGTCTCTTCTTATTCCATGAACTTTAGGATTGTTTTGTCTAGATCTGTGCGAAATGTCATTTGTGTTTTGATTGGAATTTCATTAAACTTGTGTAACAATTTTGGAGTTAAAGCCATTTTGATTGTATTAGATCTGCCTATTCAGGAACAGGTGACATCTTTCCATTTTCTGATGTCCTCCTTGATTTCCTTTTTTCAGAATGATGGAAGTTTCATTGTAGAGATCTTTCATTTCCTTGGTTAGGTTAATTGCTAAGTATTTAATATTTTTTGATGCTATTGTGAATGGTATTGTTTTCCTAATCCCTTTTCACTGAGTTCATTTTAAGTATATAGGAGTACTGTTGATTTCTGTGTATTTATTTTGTATCCTCCTACATTGTTGAATTTGGTTATTAAATCTAGGACCTTTTGGTGATGACATAGGTTTTAATAGTTTCCTGTATGTAGGGTGGTAAGGAGAAAGTTAAAAAAGAGAAATGTCTCTGTTTTGTCAGTTCACTCCTGATTCCTGGGGAACCTCTCTTCAATTTGAATCCTTTCCAAGTTACTTCTTTCAGATATTGGACACCAGGTCATAGAGACTTGAAGTTGCTGGCACTCACTGCTCTGCATGTATGCACTCTCCAAGATGATTATAAATTGCATGTACTACAAACATGTACCAGTGAAAAAGAAGAAAGAGAAATAGTTTGGATGGAAGAGGGAAAAATATTAGGTAAAGACGACAGAGAAAGATTGACCAAGGCTGAGATTATTTTGAGAAGAACAAATAATAATTCAGCAGTTCAACGCTTAATTCAGATTTAGACACTGGGGAAAGAGTTGGAGGTGGCACCTACATGATAGGATAAAAAACTGAGGAAGGATAAAAGATAATATGGTTAAAATACAAAGGCAAAAATAAGCCCTGCTTATCTGTTTTGAAGGTCATTGTTAACATCAACTTTAATAATGTAGCAGCCCCTCTGCTCTTTGTAACACTCAGTTTATCTGGTGCTAACATTACTTTGCTAGGAAAGTTGATAAACCGTCATTGAAAA